GCAACCACTGCGGCCTTGTGCCAAACGTGGCTGGGTTTAGTAAATAGAGTTTTATGGTCAAACACCGATTCACATCTGCTCACCGAAGTTAAGCAACGTCGAGACTGTTTAGCAATTAGCTGAGTGACCACATCGAACTTAAAAAAAATCAAGCACTGGAAGCAACTTGTGGCTTTTTATGGTACTAAGTCAGTGTAAATAATCTCATTGAGTGCTCTGTCATTACGGCCTTGTGTCAGACTAAGTCGGACAGAATATTACCACTATAAGTTTGTTGCTCTCTAAATATCCATACTTATGACTTCGTGACAGATTAAGTTATCTTTATCTTGCTCTTCTCTCTCTCTCTCTCTCTCTCTCTTTTCTTTCTCTTTCTACCCTACAAGAATTGGGTGAGCATGGCTCTTCACGACGTCCTGTCCTTTATTGCTCTCAATAATATGTGCCCTTGCACAACACTTCGCTGTCTTTGTAGTACTTGTTCCTCGAACCATTTGTCATGTATGTTCTCTCTCTCTCTCTCTTTCTATTTGTCATGTCTCTTCGGGACATGGCCGATCATGACTCTCCACAGCTTCCTGTTCTTTGTTGCTTTCAGCAGTGCTTGCTTTTTTATGACTCCTCTTTATTATACTTGTTCCACCATCCATTTTTTTCAAATTTGTCAAGTATGTTCTTATTCTCTTTCCATGTGCCATGTCTCTTCAGAACTTGATCAATCACGGCTCTCCGCAGCTTCCTGTTTTTAGTTTGTTTCGGTAATACTTGCACTTTTATGATTCCTCTTTACTATACTTGTTCATCCATCCTATTGTTCAAACTTGTCAAATCGGATCTCATTCACTTTTCATGTGCCATATCTCTCCAGGATATGGTCGATTACGACTCTCCACAGCTTCCTGTTCTTTGTTGCTTTCAGCAATACATACTCCTGTATGACTTCTCTTTGTCTTTATCATACTTGTTAATCCATCCATTTAATCAAACTTGTCAACTTGTTGATTTTCTCTGCTTTCCTTGCTTTCGATGTTTCTTGTATGTGTTAAATTCTCCAAACCATCTTTTCTCATTGTTTGCCCCAAATTTCAGCTATCTCTGATTTTTAGCAAAAGGTTCTTTCTAGCCCTGTTCTAACCAAGAACTTCCTCATATCTCACATGCTCTGTCTATGGTATTCTCAATATTCATTTGGTAAAACCGCATGTCTGCCGCTTCAAGACTTAATTTCAAACAAAATATTCTAGCATACACTGCGATATAAGAAGCTAAGTTGGTGCCTATAGTGTTGCAAGGTGTAGAAGGCTCCAATCTTTGCGTAATTCTCTGAGTTCGATCCTCATGAGTGCTCTACTATTCTTACCTTGTGCCAAACTAAGCTATGTTAAATAGATTTACCTGACACATGTTTATATTATATTAGTAAGCAAATAATGTTTATAGACACTCCTGAGGCTACATTCAAGTGCGTTAACACGAAATTAAGTCTCCCTATGAATTGCTTTTTAATTATTTTGCAATTTATTTTCTCTTTATTCTTTCATTCCGTTCATTTTATTTTTATTCTTAATTTTTCATTTTTTTCTCTTTCATTTTTCATTCTTTGACTGTCTTTCTTTCTACTCGCTTTTATTTCTCTTTTTCCTTCATTGCCTCTTTCTTTTTTTCAAACGTGTCAACATTTTATTGCCAGTCTTATTCATTCTATATTCCTTCGCCTTCTTTCTTTCTTTCTTTCTTTCTTTCTTTCTTTCTTTCTTCAGTTCTGTGTCTTTTTCCTTCTGCTTTTTCTTCTTTTTTAGTCTAAGTCATTCTTACTTAAATTTCTTTCTTGTTCGCTTTCTTTCTTTCTTTCTTTCTTTCTTTTTCATCCTTTCATTCATCCTTTTCTTTTTCTTTCTTTCATTTTTGATTACCGATTCTCGTTTTCCTTCATCCGCTTTCACTCTGTTTTCTTCTCACATTTTCCACGAAATCTTTCTTCTCTTTATTTCTCTTCTTCATCATCATGTCCTTCTTCTCTTCATCCTTTTCTTCTTCTTCTCTTCATCATTTTCTTCTTCTTCTTCTCTTCATCCTTTTCTTCTTCTTCTTCTCTTCATCCTTTTCTTCTTCTTCTTCTCTTCATCCTTTTCTTCTTCTTCTCTTCATCCTTTTCTTCTTCTCATCATCCTTTTCTTCTTCTTCTCTTCATCCTTTTCTTCTTCTTCTCTTCATCCTTTTCTTCTTCTTCTCTTCATCCTTTTCTTCTTCTTCTCTTTTTTCTTCTTCTTCTCTTCATCCTTTTCTTCTTCTTCTCTTTCTCTTCATCCTTTTCTTTTTCTTCTTTCTTCTCTTCATCCTTTTCTTCTTCTCTTCATCTTCATCCTTTTCTTCTTCTTCTCTTCATCCTTTTCTTCTTCTTCTCATCATCCTTTTCTTCTTCTTCTCTTCATCCTTTTCTTCTTCTTCTCTTCATCCTTTTCTTCTTCTTCTCTTCATCCTTTTCTTCTTCTTCTTCTTCCTTTTCTTCTTCTTTTCTTTCTTTTCTTTTTCTTCATCTTTATTCTTTCTTCTTCATCCTTTTCTTTTCTTCTTCTTCTCTTCATCCTTTTCTTCTTCTTCTTCTTCTCTTCATCCTTTTCTTCTTCTTCTTCTCTTTCCTTTTCCTTCTTCTTCTTCTCATCTTCATCCTTTTCTCACCTTTCTTCTTCTTCTTCTCTTCATCCTTTTCTTCTTCTTCTTCTCTTCATCCTTTTTCTTCTCTTCATCCTTTTCTTCTTCTTCATCCTTTTCTTCTTCTTCTTCTCTTCATCCTTTTCTTCTTCTTCTCTTCATCCTTTTCTTCTTCTTCTCTTCATCCTTTTCTTCTTCTTCTTCTCTTCATCCTTTTCTTCTTCTTCTTCTCTTCATCCTTTTCTTCTTCTTCTCTTCATCCTTTTCTTCTTCTTCTTCTCTTCATCCTTTTCTTCTTCTTCTCTTCATCCTTTTCTTCTTCTTCTCTTTCTTTTCCTTTTTCATCCTTTTCTTCTTCTTCTCTTCATCCTTTTCTTCTTCTTTCTTCTTTCTTCTTCATCTTCATCCTCTTTTTCTTCTTCTTTCTTCTCTTCATCCTTTTCTTCTTCTTCTCTTTTCTTCTTTTTCTTCATCTTCTTCTTCTCTTCATCCTTTTTTCTTCTTCTTCTCTTCATCCATTTTTTCTTCTTTCTTCTTCTTCTTCCTTTTTTTCTTCTTCTTCTCTTCTTTTCTTCTTTTCTTCTCTTTCTTCTTCTTTCTTCTCTTCATCCTTTTCTTCTTCTTCTTCTCATCATCCTTTTCTTCTTCTTCTCTTCATCTTTTCTTCTTCTTTCTCATCCTTCTTCACCTCCTTCATCCTTTTCTTCTTCCACCTTCATCCTTTTCTTCCTTCTCTCATCTTTTCTTCTTCTCTTTTTTTCTTTTTATTCTTTTTTCTTCTCTCTTCATCCTTTTCTTCTTCTCTCTCCTTCTTCTTCTCTTCATCCTTTTTTCATCCTTTTCTTCTTCTCTTCCCCTTCTTCTTCTTCTTCATTCTTCATCCTTTCTTCTTTTCTTCATCTTTTCTTCTCCTTCTTCTCCTTCTTCTTCTTCTTCTTCTTCTTCTTCTTATTCCTTCTTCTTCATTCTTATTCTTCTTCTTTTCTTCTCCTTCCTTCTTCTTCTTCTTCTTTTTCCTTCTTCCTCATTCTTCTTCTCCTTCCTTCTTCTTCTTCTTCTTCTTTTCTTCTTCTCCTTTCTTCTTCTTCTTCTTCTTCTTCTCCTTCTTCTTCTTCTTCTCTTCTTCTTTCTTCTTCTTCTTCCTCTTCTTCTCCTTCCTCTTCTTCTCCTTCTTCTTCTTCTTCTTCTTCTTCTTCTTCTTCTTCTTCTTATTATTATTATTATTATTAATGTACCCTTGCCGCCAAGAATTACAGCAACTGTTTTAAAGTTTTCATACTGAGATGCAATGAAACAAAAGTTTTGAAAGAATCTGTCTTGAGACTCAATAAATCTGAGATCCAGAATTCACAACGAAAATCGAGGCCCATAAACCATTTAATTAATCCGTTTCTTTGTTACTACATTGCTTTAAAAGATTTTTACATTAAATTACATTTATTGCATAACAAACATAACAATTATATGTATTTATTTACACAGTAGAATCCTTCATATCCAGACATGTTTTTGATGTGCATACTTGAACTATTTCGGTGATATATAACTGATTTAAAATTTGTGTTTTTCAGGAAATTTACTTTGGATAATTGCTTATGCTTATTTTCGCCCTAATGGCTTGTATTGATGCAAAAGATGATGAGAATTAGAGGAAAAGAACAACTTTGGAGTTATTGCAAAAAGTAGAAATTTTAAACAGACTAAACGCTGGTGAAAGTTCATTGTAACTAATGGCTGAGTTCAACGTAGGAAAGTCAACATTGTATGATATAAAGTCTTCCAAAGAAACTATTCTCCAGCGTTCACACTGTGACAATGAACAAGGAAATAAAAAACATGATTGTGATGAAACCTAGACTAAAATTTAAAAAGCTATTGAAAAGGATGTCAGTTTTATGTAAAGAAAGCCAGCATTCAGCTATGACGGTTGCAATAACGCACGCAAAGTTAAAAGAGAAAAATCATTATGTAACAGCGATTTAAAAAATCCTCGTTATATTATTTGTTTTGCATACGTAGTATACTTAATTTAATGAATGTTTATTAACATTACATTTTTTTTCTTTAAAATCAATTCCGTTATATTTCACTCACCATTAGTTTATTTTGTTTACTATAAAACATTGAAAATAAATGTTAAACCTGATTTCAGTTCTTTGATTTTAATCTAAATATAACTCCTCATATCCGGACTTTGTAACCAATTCCTCATATCCGGAATTCCTCATATCCGGAATTCCTCATATCCGGAAGGCCTTCTTAGTTCGGTTGTCAGCGATTCTACTGTATTACATAACGAGGGTTCAGAATCCATAACTTAAGCAGAAACCACTGAAGTGTTTGCTAAAATGGGAAAAGAATTTCAATCTATACGTTGTAGATCTCAGCAGTCATTTCAGAAGTTACAACTTAAAAGCTACTTATACACTGTTTAGTCAATTAATTTCTTTGTTATTAGATTTCTTGTGAAGCTTTTGCAGTCGTTATTTTTTATTAGTTTTAACCCGTGAAAATTTCACCGTTTTCCTATTTGAATTTTCTGGTGGATCTTGATTCGTCATTTAAAGATTGAATAAACTCATGGAGAATTCTATGACAAAAAATATCCATAGAAATTCCCCTATGGCATAGTTAAATATTTGAGCTTAACAACCTTAACAAAAAATAAGCTCATGGCGAATTATACAACAATAAAAAATGCGTAGAAATTCCCCTATTGCATTGTTAAATATTGTTGCAATCACAATCATAAATATGAATGTTGGTCGTTATTTCAAGAAGTAAGGGGTACAAGTGAGAGGACAAATCATATAGTTGAGCTTAACAACTTTAACAAAATATTGCAATAACAACCATAAATATGAATATTGGTCGTTATTTCAAGAAGTAATGGGGTACAAGTGAGACGTCAAATCATATATTTGAGCTTAGCAACTTTAAAAAATATTGCAATAACAATCATAAATATGAATGCTGGTCGTTATTTCAAGAAGTAAGGGGATACAAGCGAGGGGTCAAATCATATAGTTGAGCTTACAAACAGTAACAAAATATTGCAATAAAAATCATATGAATGTTGGTCATAACTTCAAGAAGTATGGGGGTACAAGTGAGACGTCAAATCATATAGTTGAGCTTAGCAACTTTAAAAATTATTGCAATAACAATTATAAATATGAATGTTGGTCATTATTTCAAGAGGTAAGGGGGTACAAGTGAGACGTCAAATCATATAGTTGAGCTTAGAAACTTTTAAAAATATTGCAATAACAATCATAAATATGAATGCTGGTCGTTATTTCAAGAAGTAAGGGGGTACAAGTGAGAGGTCAAATCATATAGTTGAGCTTAGCAACATTAACAAAATATTGCAATAACAATCATAAATATGAATATTGGTCGTTATTTCAAGAAGTAAGGGGGTACAAGTGAGAGGTCAAATCATATAGTTGAGCTTAGAAACTGTAACAAAATATTCCAATAAAAATCATATGAATGTTGGTCGTTATTTCAAGAAGTAAGTGGGTACAAGTGAGACGTCAAATCATATAGTTGAGCTTAGCAACTTTAACAAAATATTGCAATAACAATCATAAATATTAATGTTGGTCGATATTTCAAGAAGTAATGGGGTACAAGTGAGACGTCAAATTATATAGTTGAGATTAGCAACTTTAAAAAATATTGCAATAAAAATCATGAATATTAATGTTGGTCGATATTTCAAGAAGTAAGGTGGTACAAGTGAGACGTCAAATCATATAGTTGAGCTTAGCAACTTAAACAAAATATTGCAATAACAATCATAAATATTAATGTTGGTCATTATTTCAAGAAGTAAGGTGGTACAAGTGAGAGGTCAAACCATATAGTTGAGCTTAGCAATTTTAACAAAATATTGCAATAACAATCATAAATATTAATGTTGGTCGATATTTCAAGAAGTAAGGGGGTACAAGTGAGACGTCAAATATTATAGTTGAGCTTAACATATTTAACACAATATTGCAATAACAATCATAAATATGAATGTTGGTCGTTATTTCAAGAAGTAAGGGAGTACAAGTGAGAGGTCAAATCATATAGTTGAGCTTAGCAACTTTAACAAAATATTGCAATAACAATCATAAATATGAATGTTGGTCGATATTTTAAGAAGTAAGTGGGTACAAATGAAAAGATTTGAAATCTACAACTTTTTCTATCTAACAAAAGTTAAAGACTTCTATCTTCCCATTTTTCTTTCATTTCCTGACTGAAACGAAGTAGCGTTTTTGATATGCCTTTTGTCTTCTCACGCGATCAAAACGGAATAGTCCATTATTTATGAGATATTGGCACGGCGTAACGATCGTGCGAACTGACGAAGTGGGTACAAGCACAATTATTATATGACGATTATTTTGTGGGTGTTTTTACTTTTATTTTGTCCAACGCTGCCTACAGCTGTCCACGAGCCAATCCTCAAATTATTAAATAATTGCCAACATTAAAAAAACGATAGGCTTGCGACTTGTTAAGAGAATTACATAGAGCGTGACACGAAATATATAAATAAATATACACACAACGGTAATTATTATATAGTGCTGATTTGGGTGTGTGGCCGAGTGGTTAGAACGTTAGTATTCTGACCTTGAAATCACACCATGGTCTATTTTTCAAGGAGGTGACTTCTTGATAATATCGGTCTGGGGAGGGGATCTCAGCGTGCGGCACGTTTGTTCCAGGAAATATGAGCGAAATTCGGAAGTGTTTGAAACCCGTCGATGGTTGTACTAGCACGAAATCACAAGTCATCGTGACTGAGGGTTTGAGTGTACTGGCCTTGTTCAAAACCGTTGATCACACCAGATTAGGTGCTCTCTCCTAGTAACTATAATGTTCGCTCAGTATAATTTGATTTTATTTGATTTGTTTGTTTAATGGCAAATCAACCCCTCATGGGTCATTTAATACCGAAATTTAATTTTCTTGGGAGCTTTGAAATAATAAAAATATGTTATTCTGCTTTCACAATTGAATACATGGTAGATGATACTCAGCTTTTGTGCAAATACATATTTATTTGACATGATTACTACAGGCGGTGATATGTGTGTTTTATGTTGTAGTTTTGTTGAAGTTATATTTTGGAATACAGTTTGATTTCTTTAAGAAACTGTAGGACATTATATGGACTAATGCCATGAAATTTTTCTTTCATGTTGATTGTTTAGATGATTTTGTTTAGCGGCATATCAACACCTCTATGGTTTATTTAATACTGAAATCTAAATATTTTGAACATAAATTTATGGCTTCAACTAAATATATTTTAAACGTAATTGTATGCCTTCAACTACAGATAAAATGTATTATTGATCATTTTGCTTTAAAATTGTATTGTTGGTAAGTTTTTATATAAAAATATATTGCTGGTATACTTTCTTAGTGTTTTGTTTTTGTTTGGGGATTCACTCTTTACCCATAGCTGGGACCCTAACAGGTGCTACCATGCCGGGTCAGGCTGGATCTGGGAACAACAGCAATTAAGAGTTGGTTCCACTTCATCGAAAACTTCAATCTCCCGTTCACAGGCCTTGCTGCCGGATGTAGTTTATCGTCATACTCAGGACTATCGCTCAGTATAAATGTAGGATAAAACACACGTTGGCCCTGGAGGTGTTGAACAAACATAAATGAGTCTGTACCGGTATTTGCAATGAGAATTAGCTAATCGCTCTAGCCGATGGCCATACGCGGAAACCAACTACTTACTTATTATTTAAAAAGTCGTTCACCTCCCTTTGAAACTATTTTGACATAGACGTGCTCACAATAAGACGTAATGTCAAAAGGACGGTTGTTTCCATGACACCGCTTTTTTTTTAACTACCTTCACTCCTCGGCAATGTTTATTGTTTTAAAAAGCGATGATTAGAATTGGAATAAAACCTAAACAGATGATGAAAAGGAATTTATACCTTTTTTTTTTTTGTTCTTGAGAATTTACAGCAAAAATAATAAACACTATTTATTTATTTATTTATTTATTCATTTGCTGTAATTCATTTTTCCTTCTCCTATTTCGTCTTCCCTTTTGCTTTTTATCGTTTTTTTCTTCCTTTTCGTCTTCCTTTTTCTACCTTCATTGTTCATTCCACACTCTTTCTCCTTCACGTTTCTTTCTTTCTTAAAATTATTCCCTCTCTTATTTGTAGTCATTCATTCTCCTTCTTCTATTTCGTCTTCTTTCAATTCTCATTCTCTCTCTCTCTCTCTTCACATTTTTCTTTCTTTCTTTCATAAACTACTCTCTCTCTCTATCGATCTATCTATCTATCTATCTATCTATCTATCTATCTCACAATCATTTGAGTCATTCATTCTACTTCTTCTATTTCGTCTTCTTTCTTGCATTTTATCGTCTCTTTCTTCCTTTTCCTTTTTCTATCTCTATTTTCTTTCAATCCTCATTCTCTCTCTCTCTTTCTTCACATTTTTCTTTCTTTCATAAACTACTCTCTCTCTCTCTCTCTCTCTCTCTATCTATCTATCTATCTATCTATCTATCTATCTATCTCACTAACTCACAATCATTTGAGTCATTCATTCTCCTTCTTGTCATTTGTCTTCTTTTTTGTATTTTATCGTCTTTTTCATTTTCCTTTTTCTATCTTCTTTGTTCAATCCGTTATCTTTATCTTTGAGGTTTCCTTCTTTCTTACTTTCTTAAAACCTCTCTATCTATCTATCTATCTATCTATCTATCTCTCTCTCTCTCTCTCGTTCGCTTTCTCCCTCTCTATCTCTCCGTCCCTCTCTCTCTCTCTCTCTCTCTCTCTCTCTATCTATCTATCTATCAATCTATTTCTCCCTCTCTCTCCCTCTCTCTCTCTATTTCTCTTCCTCCCTCTCTTTCCCTTTCTCTCCCTATTTTTTTATCTCTGTCCCTCACTCTGTCTCTCTCCTCTCTCTGTCTCTATCTATCCCTCTCTCTGTCTCCCTCTCTGTCTTCCTCTCTCTATCTCTCCCCCTCTTTCTATCTATATCTACCCCTCTATCCTTCTCTCTATCCCTCTCTCTCTCTCTCTTTAACTAATTCATTGCTTTTTCCTCTCTTTCTTCTTGTCTCACATGCTCTCTCTTTCCTACTCTCTCTTATTTCACCTTTTCTTAATCATTCGCTAAATTTGTAGATATTTCCTAAGTTTAACTGAGTTTGGCAAAAGGCCATCATTCTCTGAACGTTTTATGGAAGCTATTTACTGATTTCTTTTTTTAAAAGCACTCTGTTGGTCCATTTTGTTGTTTTTTATTTTGAAGTGTTTGTTCGTCTGCTTGTAAGAAAGCACGTCAACAGCCATATTACGCAAATCAGTTTGGCGGAGTTAGTTCAGGCAAATTTCAGATATAAATAGGCAATGCCGCAACAAATAGCGCTGAAGATTGATAAGGGTGGGCGAGAAGGTGATTTGGGTGGAAGAAAGAAAGAAAGAAAGAAAGAAAGAAAGAAAGAAAGAAAGAAGTAAATATGGAGAAGAAAGAAAGAAAGAAAGAATTATGAAGAAAGAAAGAAAGAAAGAAAGAAAGAAAGAAAGAAAGAAAGAAAGAAAGAAAGAAGAGAATTAAGAAAGAAAGAAAGAAAAAATTACGAAGTAAAAAATAAAGAAAGAAACAAGAAACAAAGAAACAAACACTTATCAAGTAAAAAAGAAAGTAAGAAATAAAGAGGAGAATTAAGAAAGAAAGAAAGAAAGAAAGAAAGAAAGAAAGAACGAAAGAAAGAAAGAGGAGAATTAAGAAAGAAAAAGAATTACGAAGTAAAAAAGAGAGAAAGAAATAAAGAAGAGAATAAATAAATAAAGAAAGAATTACGAAGTAAAAATGAAATAAATAAATAAAGAGAATTAAGAAAGAAAGAAAGAAAGAAAGACAGAAACAAAGAATTATGAAGTAAAAAATAAACAAAGAAAGAAAGAATTATGAATTAAAAAGAAAGTAAGAAAGAAAGAAAGAACGAAAGAAAGAGGAGAATTAAGAAAGAAAAAGAATTACGAAGTAAAAAAAGAAAGAAAGAAAGAAAGAAAGAAAGAAAGAAAGAAAGAAAGAAAGAAGAGAATAAATAAAGAAACAGAGAATTACGAAGTAAAAAAGAAAGAAATAAAGTGGAGAATTAAGAAAGAAAAAGAAAGAAAGAAAGAAAGAAAGAAAGAAAGAAAGAAAGAATTTAAATTAAAAATAAAACAGAAAGAAAGAGAGAGAGTGGGAAGGAAAACCACAGAAAAGAAAAAGAAAGCAAACATTTAAAAAGGAATGCAGAAAAGAAAGCAAACGTGAACATTTTAAAAGAAGGAAAGAAAAAGGAAGAGATGATTAAGGAAAAAGACAAAAACAAAAGAAAAATTAAAAAAAGAGAGAGAATAATTGGAAAAACGATAGATAGTTAGATAGATAGATAGATATGAACAGGCCGGGATAGATAGATAGATAGATAGATAGATAGATAGATAGATAGATAGATAGATAGATAGATAGATAGATAGATAGATATGAACAGGCCGGGATAGATAGATAGATAGATAGATAGATAGATAGATAGATAGATAGATAGATAGATAGATAGATATGAACAGGCCGGGATAGATAGATAGATAGATAGATAGATAGATAGATAGATGAATATGAACAGGCCGGGATAGATAGATAGATAGATAGATAGATAGATAGATAGATAGATAGATAGATGATAGATATGAACAGGCCGGGATAGATAGGATAGATAGATAGATAGATAGATAGATAGATAGATAGATAGATAGATGAAGATAGATAGATATGAACAGGCCGGGATAGATAGATAGATAGATAGATAGATAGATAGATAGATAGATATGAACAGGCCGGGATAAATAGATAGATAGATAGATAGATAGATAGATAGATAGATAGATAGATAGATAGATAGATAGATATGAACACATTGAGATAGATAGATAGATAGATAGATAGATAGATAGATATGAACACATTGAGATAGATAGATAGATAGATAGATAGATAGATAGATAGATAGATAGATATGAACACATTGAGATAGATAGATAGATAGATAGATAGATAGATAGATAGATAGATAATGCGAAGGCGAAGTAGCCTTGAAGATGGAAAGAAAAAATAAAGAATAAGGTAAGCCATGAGAAAAATAAATTTTGACTCAGTGAAAGAAAAGAAAATAAAAGATGAGAAATTTTAAAAAATAAGAAAAACAAAGGATGAAAAAAAATATGCGATAATTAACTCTCACTTTTTTAATAACGAAGAAAAAAATTAATGAGTGGCTAATTTTGAAAAGTGCTTGTTCATCTGTGTGCCTTGTCCTTTCGGGACGTTAGTGATTATGGCTCTCCACAATTTCCTGTCCTTTGTAGCGCTGAGCAAAAGTTGTCCTTTTGTTATCTCTCCTTCTCTCCTCGTCCCTGTTTTGCCATCCATTTCCTCAAGCTCATTCTTCTTATTATTCTATGTGCCTTGTCCCTTCAGGACGTTGGTGATTATGGCTCTCTACAATTTCCTGTTCTTTGTAGCGCTGAGCAAATGTCTTTTTTGACCAGTGAGTGACAAAATTTCCAAGCCCTCTTTCCTTATTATGTGCACTAGAAATGACAGCTGGGAAGAAGAACAAATATAAGCTAAGCAGGTGTTTATTGTCTGCTTAACCTTCCATACGCACCAAACTGAAAACATTTGGCATGTTCTGATTTTTGCTAGTTGAATATTTTCGTTTCCATGCGATGTGTGTGTGTGTCTTGTAATAGTTTACTTATTGCTTCGGACAGGACACACATGTACGTCCATTCTCTTACGCACCTGTAAGAAACCGTCCATGACGCACAAATATGTCACAATGGGGACAATACCCAGTAATGTGAACGCGCACGAATCTTTGTTTTTTATCCATATACAGGAGGTCCTCGACTTACGACAGAATTCTGTTCCTACGATGCGTCGCAACGCGATTATCCATGTAAACCGGAACCCGCGATTTTCCGCGGATAAGCACTTACGTTACTTACCCGTGTTAACGCAATAGTAAAGTTATAATCTAGGATATAGCAACACATTCCTATGACATATATTAACATAATTATAATTAAAAACACATGGAATACATAAATATAATACATGTAATGAGATGAAAATAATACGTATAATGAAATGAAATTATTTTAAGCTGCTTGCATATTTATTGCCAGTGATGTCATTACTTCTCGGCAAATGAGATGATGAAGCGTAAGATTTCGTCTCTCTCGGAAGCAGCAGCAAATCTGGGGAAGAAAGAAAAACAAACATGAGTTTGTTTTTCGTTTTTATCGGGAATTCATCGACTTATAGTTTAACAAGATTAATGGAGATTTCGTCGTAACCACGAATCGTCGTAATTATGAACTGTCGTAACCCGGATCACGGTATGATAAGATAAAGAACAAATAGGAACCATTTATCAATCTAACATTTTTCGCTTTTGTTAAAGCTTCATCAGAGAATGAGATATGGAGAAAAAGAAGAAACAGATGCTTGTATTTCTACTTTTGCATTGTTTGCTTTTCATTGGTCAGTCATGTTTCACGTGCATCTGACTCAAACCAATGTAGCATATACATTTCGTATGAAAAAAATTCTTCGTCACTAGAATAAGCCTCTACACATTGATGCAGCAATTGGCCCATCCTTATCAGTAGACTCTTCCGATAACATAAAATTAATATAAATAAATAACATAGAAATCATATATCTTCAATCCGCAATGCCACTGTTTAAAAAAATTATACAATAATTGCAATCACAAGCAGATACAAACCTTTATATATGTTTGGCACGATGGGTTGCAGTATACGATTTAATCAGAACACCGACATAGAAGTGGACAAGTTTGAAGTGTCTGATGTTTTTATGACCAACAGTAAAATCTATGAAGAAAAATCTTAAAAGTGGTCACCCACTTTTTTTTTTAAATCGGTATCACCCCATCCAAGGCAGTAAAACCACTAAGATACAAGGGAATACAGGGCGTGGAATAGAAACATTAGTAATGAGCGGGAAGAGGAAAGAGTAATCAGGAGGACAGTAGATGGCGATTGACATTGCATTTAAATATTTGAAGATTAAAGTTAGCTGGAAAGCATGGAGCCGGAAGGGAGTTCCACGAGAAAGGCTATAAAGCCACTAAGACACAATGGGTTAATGGGTGTGGAAGAATTAGGAACAGAAACATTAATAATAAGAGGAAAGATGAAAGTGTATTCAGGAGGACAGTAGATAGCGATTGACATTGCATTTAAATATTTGAAGATTAAAGTTGGCTAGAAAATATGAATGAGTTCACCCGAACAATTACCATGAAAGTATTCATAGAAAAGTCACAGAGAGGCAACCTTACAGCGGTGGGAAAGTGACTGATCAAAATATAGATATTGAGAACTTGCCTTCCCACATAAATATAGTAAATTTTAAAGTATATATTCATGCGAGAGAATTAAAAGACTTTAGAAAGAACCGGCAACCCAAAATTGCCGAAGAAAAGAAACCGAATCCGAATTGGACATACAAGATTAACCCACATATGCTTGCTCAGAGGACAATAAATGCCCAAATGTAATTATTGCAAACCAGAGATTAACGGTAAACGTATACTGATAGAATAATGATGTAATGGAATAACCTGGCACGCCCATGAGTGGCGGCACTATAGGTAGTAACCACCTATAAGTATCTGTTAGAATAGCGGACAGGAGAGTCGAGCTGGGATCTTTCCCAGCTGCGCTAGTCGAACTCTCTGCCTTCGAGCAGAGAGGAACCCGGACGAAGCTATGCCGAAGGGCAGAGTTTCGTCCGGGGTGGTAGACAGACCCGATCCCGTTTATGCGGGGTCTACGGGGATTTTTTGGCCGAGCTTCCGGGAACCCCACTTTAAAATCGGCCTTGTGCCACATGTGACTGCGTTGGGCAGTTACAAAATAGCGCCGATCTGGGATCTTTGCTTAGTTTCATGTAAATAGTTTATATTCATATCGTACATATTCATTGGGGATTTTTTA